AACTGCATTTTACAGATGTAAGAAACTTGATCAACAATAGAGCACAGGAGGCAACTTAAAATATCCTGTCAGAGGAAAACAGTTTTGCAGCCATCTTTTTATGTGCAGCAGTCCTGGCTGGTCACTAATAAACTCTGAACTTCTAAACAAATGAGTATGTTTTACAGCATTTTGGAGAAGTGAGGAGGTTTGTTTGTTTGTTTGTTTTTTGTGCCTAAGGAGTTCGTAATGCAATATAATGATCTAGTTTATCTCTCTGGACAGGAGTGATCTGTCTTGACTTTGAAAAACAGAACTCCGGATCTATAGAAAGTTTTTTCTTTAAAAAATGTATAGCAGTAAGTTCATAGGAGAGGCCCTTGCCGTGCTTACATCTGCTTCAGACTTGATACAAATAAATTAATTGCTCCTCTCGCAAGATGTAGGAGATGCCTAAAGCTTCTGGTTAATGTGTGACATAAAATACTTGTGTAGTTTCTTGATTTAACATTCTTACACTGCTTCAGGTAGAACTCTGCTGTTGTCAGCCTACTTGCAGTAAGCTCAGTGTGAAAGGTGGGCACAAGTAACTCCTGGATTTGGGGGTTATTGTTCTTGTTTTGTTTTGCTTTTCTCCCACTTTTCACAGTTGGAATAATACTAGCTTCTTTTGTCTTCTGCCTCTAAAGGAGTTACAGTCCTGGAAGCAAAAGCAGAAGTCTGTTGTATTCTTGCTTTGTTTAGCTTAGGTGGCTAGGTGTTCATAGAAAATACATTACAAAATTTCTCTGACTACTTTCATTCAGTTTCAAGACTTGTTTTGTGGGAGAGGTGGAGCTGAAATATGAAGATAGGTTGCCCTTTTTTTTTTTTTTTTTGTAAGAGGCATTCTGGATTCTAAACTTGGGTTCAATTTTTTAAGTCTTTTCCCAAACCTTACCTGGCAATTCAAGGAATTTTTTTAAAAAATCCTCTTTTTCTATTTGTCATTTTGTAGAGGTGGGTTTAGAAATATATTTTAAAAATACAGTTAGCTCTCCCTGGGCATATGTCATTATTAAAAGTAATATACATTGGGATCTTGGTGAAGGTTGCTCTTTGGATTTTATAGTGCACAGCTGTGTGTGTGGTAGATAAGTTGTACTGAAGCTTAAGTTAAGAGCCCACCAGCCTTCACAACATAATAGGCTCAGTCCTCTCTCGCCATAAGCTGCATATGCTTCCTCAGGTCAATCCTTTTCATCACCGTGCGTGTCCAACTTAAAAGTATCACAAGGTTTTAGGGACTTGGCAGGAACCAAACTGCCCTCCCTGCAAACTAAAATTCATTGAAAAAATGAAAGCCTGAGGCAGGGGAGAAAAATTGGAGCTCCATTGTTTCTGTAGTTTTTCACCCTGTCAAAATTAGGTGAATGTCAATTATGACACAACAGTGACTGTAAATATTTTTCTTAAAAAAAAAAAAGAAGAATTATATACAGTTACAAGTTTCTATTGTGATATTCAGGATTTTTCAGCTAAAAGTTTGTAACTTTTTGGGGAGCAGGTACAGTGAGCTACTCAGCTGTCATAGATGGTAGAGGAGTGTCAGCTGGAGGCCCTGAGTAGCCCTTCTGCTTGGCAGTAAGGAATCATGTTCATGATGATGAGACAGTTGTTTTCAACAGTTGCAAGCTATGGTACTGTTTAGTTGACCTTTGAGAGAAGCTTAAGAGCCAAAAAACCCCCCACCCCTTAAAAATGACAATTATTTTTTTTAATGTTGAAATTGTTTTTTGCAGCAGTGGCCTCATGGGAGAGAGAAGCTGTTACAGTAGGTAGTGGCTCCCTTCTCTGTGTCAACAGAAACTGTCTTCTCTTTCCACTCTCAGTGAAAACAAGAAAGAGGGGGAAGAGGCCATCACACAGAGTTTGGCCACCTCTGTACACATACATCCTTTAGAAAATGAGAAAATACTTCTCTTTCCATATATGGTATCCTCTTGTACAGTTGCATCCACAAAGAAGTAAGGAATCCCTGCTGTGCACTCAGTGCTGAAGAGAAGTTACAGGAATTGGTGTGTTGCAAATGAGCCCATCTCAATATTAAAATAACTACAAGTAGTTTGGGGGTGTTGCTATACTTAGGGTATTTTCTGAATGGATGCAGGCTTTGCACAGAGAGAAGCTATGGGTTCCTCATGAACTGTATCTGATTGAACCTGTGTACTAAACAGAGGGCATTCAGCTGAATTCTATACACCTATAGTGAGCTTTACTACAGCTGATTTCCTGTTATGGTATTGATTCCTGTTAAGGTTAGGATTTTACATTAAAAAACATGGATATACATCAAAGCTTTGAGGGACAGGAATACCTTCTGTAGAATGACTGATGTTTGGCTACCACGTGGGTAACTTCTGGACAGAGAATTTGATCAGAGGCTTTTCTAATATAACTAAAGCAATTCTGGAAATCATCTTTTGGTACTGAAACAATAAAATACCAAGCAGTCTGTCATCAAATAACAGCTTTGATGATGTGTTTGCAGGACTCTGCACTTGTGAAAAGTCTCATCTGAGTAGGTCTTTGAACAATTTAGCAAATTTTGGATATACATTCAAACTAGAAACAGATTTTTTTTGAAATTTTGAAGGTGTAAGAAAAATTCAGGACACGTTTAAGAAAATAACATATCTAGTTATGAAAAGTAAAATTCATTAAGAATGAGAAATATACTGCATATAGTTTACTATACAGACAACATGGTGGCATGGTTGTATGCTGTATAGGTACTGATTTTTTTTGGCAGCAGAAATATAGATCATGTACAGTGAATATGGCTTACTGTGCCTGTGCAGATAACGTTGGTTTTGCATGGACCATAGGTGTGAGCCAGTTCTCATCTCAAGTGTGCTGAGCTGTTCTCTGTTAGGACAGACAAGGTGCCTTCTGTTAGTTACAAGATGGGTAACTGTAATGTTGAGACTCAGAAGTGAATGTGCTGTACAGGATGTGGTTCTGTTGAAGCCAAGGTGCTAGCAAGCTAAAATTTGTGTTATAAATAATGTATTTTGAAGAATTGAAACATATCGCCTGCATAATCTTGTATCTGTTACTTGAAAATACCTTGGAGTTTATTCCGGGATTAAAAAGCTTCACATAGAAATATTTTTATAATGATCAGAAATCTGTAGGAATGTGGTTCCTTACCAGACTTTTGGGGGAAGAGGAGGAAAGATACAATTTAACAAAGGCTTTTCTGAATACCTGTCTTGGCCTCTTTATGTTTGGCGTATACAAGTTGTAAACGAGATCTCCTCTGAGCAAGAAAGATCCAGAAATTGGTTATTAATGGCAGTATTTGGGTTTTTTGGTTTTTTGGGGTTTTTTTGAGTAGCAAAGCTGAAAGTGCTTCTTGCTCCAGGATTTCAGTTGCTCTCGGTCTGGGAGAAGGATTTACTAAATAGTCAGGTTTAGTGAAGAACGTGCTGTGAAAATGTTGAGTTGCAACTAAACTAAAAAGTTCTGTTATAGCTAAAATCCTTACATTTCTCATATGCTTCTGTGACTTTGTCACTGAAATGCTGTGTAGTTATCAGGAATAAACATCATTTCTAGATTATGGTTGCAGGGATTTCTACACATGTGCTGATGTTCCATGGATGATTGGTAACAAAGTTTAAATTTGGTACAATCTGAGTATCACTGGTGTCAGCAACTGTGTGATTATTCAGTCCGAGGGAAAAGCTCCAGAATTTATCGCCACACAGTTCTTGATCTCTTCAGGAAAACTGTTTGCAACTCAGATATTTATTTAAAGCAAGGAAGCCCAAGTCCTGCACGCATGGGTTGTTTCCCAGAAGAGACTTGGAACCCAAAGAGACCCTCATTAAACCTTTGAGGGATTTCTGTAGGCAGTGGCCTTTGGAATATAACCATAACCAGGTGGGCATAATGGTTACAGGCAGAAGTCCTAAGTCATTCTGGCCTCTTGTGAAGATACTAGAGAACACATAGATACAGTTGATAAGTTTGATGTCCTGGTTTATTTGCTGTTATATAAATGTGCAAAATACAGCTGAAATTAAACAGTAGCTATAGACTTGGGTTATAAGAGCAGTTACCTTATTTATGATGTGTTTCTAGCCCCAAAATGTGCAAGTGGGCATATTTTTCTGCTGTCTACTAACTTGAATGACAGGATTGTGAAAAAGTGCCTCAGAATATGTAAGAGCGTTTTTGTACTTCAGTCATGATAAAATATTTATAATCATTTTAGGCACTGAGAATAGAGATTATGAATATCGTTAAAATTATGGTTGTGCATACTCTCATAATAAATTTCTTCAATAGAGAACAGTCTCAGATAAATTTCTTATGTCCCTAAGAGTTTTCTTAAGTAATTTCAAATTATGGAACACATGGAAACTGTGTGCATGTTATGTTAATTCTTCCTTAGAAAGCAAATAGCTGTGCTTCTAGTTTTAACCTGAGAACAGTGCTGCTTACTTGCTTGTTTGAAAAACAAGCAACGTATTTCTGTAAAATACTTTTCATGTTATATGAATCTTTTTTAAAAAAAAGCTTAGAATTGTACATTCATTGGCTTGTAGCCGGGCTCATCCTTGTTGTGCCCATGGCTCATCTATTGGTCCTTCCACAAGCTGGCTGTGGGTTGGCAAAGTATCATTAAAGATACGGTTTTGTTTAATAGCCATATAAAAATACTAAATTAAGAGGTTTTGTTGTCAGTTTTTTGTTCTTTTTGTTTTGTTTTCAAGAAGCTGTTTACTGATGGCGGCCCTATCAAGATATGAATTCTTCCAGTAATCTTGAATATTATTTTTTTACTCATTGTAATCTAATTTTTAGAGGTTTCAAAAATAGCCTTATTTTTTTGTGTAATGCCACCTTAGTAAAGAAAGGCGGTTGTGATTGCTGTTTAGAGTGTTTAATGTTATTTAAGTGTGTTGTTTTAGTCTGTGTGTGTGGGACAGGGAATTCTCTTACCCCACCCAGACACCCTTCCTCCCTAGCAGATGAAGCAGAGCTCTTTATCTCTTCCAGGTTTTGGTCGGAAGGATGTAGTTGAATATTTACTTCAAAGTGGTGCCAATGTCCACGCGCGAGATGATGGAGGCCTTATTCCTCTTCACAACGCTTGCTCTTTTGGTCATGCTGAAGTTGTCAATCTTCTCTTGCGGCATGGTGCAGATCCCAACGCTCGGGATAATTGGAATTACACTCCCCTTCATGAAGCTGCTATTAAGGGCAAGACAGATGTCTGCATTGGTAATTTTCTCCCACTCTTCCTGTGACTGACTCATTTCTTGTCAGTGTGAAAAATCAAGAACCTTTTAAAGGCCATTTTTACTCTATGGCCAGTATAAGAATTAAAACTGAAAATCTTTCATAAACTTAAATTCATGTGCAAGTTTTATAAGAAAAAAGTTTTTAGATCTGTTTTTGATAATTGCCTAAGTATAAAGGTTCATATTGACATCATCACAGAGAAAGAGCTTTAGAGTGACGTGATGGAGCTAAATTGTCTTCTACTTCAGCTGAGACTCTTATGCTGCCTTCAGCTGCTACTCACAGTGCAGTGGAAAGACCAAAATTGATCTTAATAATGAATTTGTTCTGTCCGTATGTAGCAGCCATGTTACATTAGTTAAGGATAGAAGCTAAACTTCAATTGTGTTGACCACTTGTTTTGCCCACACGGTTCTTAGGAGTTAGGAGGAAGTAGAAAGTTGGGTATCTTGTCCAGAAACTAATTTTTTGATTGTGTGGTTTGCTCCCATTTATTTTATTTAGGAGCACATCTGGAAAGCTGTATACATAACATTGCTTGTTTAGCCCCAGGGCAGTGCAAGATGTATGGCCTGCTACTGCTGTGTACAGTTTAGGGCATATTCACTTGTGGATTTGAGGCAGCATGCTTTGGAGCTGATGGGAAGTAGCTACTGGGTTTTGTGATGTGTCAGTCACAGTCTTTCAACGTAGACTGCCTCCTGCCAGTCTGGGATTGTTCCATTTCTACTCTGCTTTTTTCTCATAAAATGTGTCCAGGCATGTTTCACTAGTTAAACTATTCACAGCTGACATTAAGGAATTCTGACATTAAAAATTTGAGAGGAGAAGTTAGGATCAGTTAACTGGGTGTTTCTTTTGTTGCTTGTGGCTTACAGTAATGATAAGTCTCAAAAGCCTTGTCTTGCAGAATTGTTTTCTCATGGAAAACTTTGGCATTTTTTAGTACTGTTGCAGCATGGTGCTGAACCAACCATCCGGAACACAGATGGAAGAACAGCTTTGGATCTAGCAGACCCATCTGCAAAAGCAGTGCTGACTGGTAAGTGATAATCTTTAGATTATGTTGTGACTAATAACAGTCAAATGAATGCAATGCAGTATTTTGGTTTTTTTTTCTTTCTGATATTACTTTTAACATCTCTCTGCTTTATAATTCTAAATAGAAATTCCTATATGGCCTTTATCATCTCAGTCACGGGATGTATTCTGGATAGTTTATTGTGCTAGTTCAGTAATGGACTGTCAAATTTTTAGCACTTATGTTCTCAAAAATTTTGGAAGAGGAAGATAAGTAGTGAACTTCATGTGTATAAATATTTGTTTAACAACTACATAAACTTCCTTTTGTCTTCCAGGTGAATACAAGAAAGATGAACTCTTGGAAAGTGCCAGGTATGTATTTTTGGAAGATATCTGGAGTTAATTATATTTTCAGAATTGTCTGGGGGTTTGTATGTAGATATATTGGTTTTTATATAACCAATAGATATATTGGTTTTTGAGCTGGCATTCCATCTAGATGCTAAGCTTTGGCTGTTACCTGTGAATAAAGCTACAAAAATTATTATATTAATGCATTTTTGCTTTCCCTTTAGTGCTGACAATACAGAATTGCATGTATTACTTCAGAACAGGTCTGCTTGACCTTACAGCAAGGAAAAATATAAAAACATAATAAGCTACTAAGAACTGTCATAAAAAGAATTCTGCCCATTTCGTATCGTGTTTTTCAGGAGTGGAAATGAAGAAAAGATGATGTCTCTTCTTACACCATTAAATGTTAACTGTCATGCAAGTGATGGCAGAAAGGTATATTTGTTTAAAACCTGTTTTAAAATTAGTTCACTCTTACATGTTTCATAGTTATTGTTTGACCAGATTTTAAGAGCGTTAAACATAGAACCTATCTATTTTCTTTAATATAAGTGGGGAAATAAGGTTGTACCTCTCTGGCAGCTAGCTGTGGGTTTTTTGTTAATTTTTTAAGGTTAAAAGGACTATGTAGGTATTTGCACCTAACACAAATAAAAAACACCTTTTCATTTGGAAGTTCTGTTTGATCTTCATATTTGCAGTGATAAGGGAGGCCTTTTCATAGTTCTTGTCGCTCTCATGGAAAGATATACACAGGCGCCTTATTTGCCATGCACTCTAGGCAAGTAATTGCTGCTGTTTCAGGAACAGTGGGAAAAAATGTGAAAATCTCCATTCTAAAAATACTGATAGTCTCCTGGATTCAGCCCCTAATTTACTGAAGGTTCAGATTATTATCAAATTTTGGCATCCTCATTGTTCTCATTAAGTATGTGTACTCATTCACTTAACTTTTGTTGGAATGAGTTTCCCTATTTAAGGCTTTGTGGTAAGATATTGGGATCTGCAAAATACCTGTACATCTTTGTTTTCTCACCCTCTGGTTATGAGATTCATCTTCTAGGAACTGTACAAACCCAGTTCAGTGGATGGGTTTGTAAATGAAGAGGATAAGATTTCTCTTCACTGATTTGTACCTCTGCCCTTGGTGCTACTGATGGGTATGCTTGCTTCCTAGAAAAGATCATAGACAGTTACCCAAGTGCTCTGTGAAGGATGAGAATTTAGAAGAGCAGATTAAGTTTCCTCCACACCCCACTAAATTACTGCACTCACAGGTGTGGATAACAATGTTGATAACTTTCAAACTTAGTCTATTAATTGCCAGGGAGACCTTTTTTATAATTCAGCAGTCATTGTTCCTAATAGCCATCTTATTTCCCCTTTTACAAGGAGGATAGTTTGTCCCAGCAAAGTATTTATACTTATGGTAGTCTAAAAGACAAAAATGGACTGCAGGACTCAAAACTCTGTTAAAAGGGCCTTTGTTGCCAAAATGTATTAGTGATGGAGAAGATTCAAGATCTGTGTTTATGATAACAGAGAGTAGTCAGTGAACAATGAACATGGTTATAAAATGTCTGATTCAAGCACTGTTTTAGTGTTGCAAGTATTTTAAGGACTTCAGTAATCAGTACTGTTAACATGTTTTGAAAAAAATAAACATAAAATCAACCTTTGATTTTGTTTTACTGATTAATTCTATGTTCTGTCATTTCAGTCTACTCCTTTACATTTAGCAGCTGGGTATAATCGTGTAAAAATAGTACAGCTCTTACTGCAACATGGGGCTGACGTACATGCTAAGGATAAAGGGTAGGTTAATTTTTCCTTTGTTCAGAATAAACAGAATTTGTTAAAAATTGAGATGAAGGAAAGAATAGTAATACTGTTTTAACCATGAAGAATTTCTGACTTGAGACTGTTATGCCATCTTTAACCTTTCTGTTATGACAAAATGCAAAGTATGTAGGCTTAAGACTTGTGAATCAGTAGAATCCAAATTAAGCTGACCATAGAGCATGCTGCCTTTTAGGCATCACTTGCCAAGTTATTATTTCTTGTGTAATAAAATATGTTCGTATATGACTGAAGTCAGCAGGTATTTTGGTGATTGAATCAGTCTTAATTTTCTTTCTACTTTTAAGTTTCTGTGCTGCTTTTTGCAAAGAATGTGATAAAAAATGAAGATATGTTTCCCAGAGGCTTTATTTGGACTATATTTTCAAGCATTTGTTTGTTATGTCTGAAAATGTACTGAAATACAGACATGTGAAGTTTATTTAGTTACATATAATGAAAAAACAATTTTTCAAATATGTATTTATGTACATTAAAGATTATGAAAAGCAAACTTTTATTCCTCCTTTCTCCTAGGATCACTTCACAGCTACATAAATAGCTGCCTGATCAGACAGCTGTAATTGTCCCCTTGGGGTTGGAATTCATTTTTGTCATTTCTCCCTTACTAGCCACAGTTGAAGAATTCAGTTTAGGCAATTTCTCACTTATTCCTAAGACTGATGGGTTTGAGAGAGTAGGAAGCTGGCTTTAAAACCTCTGTAGCTCTGCTGTTACTGTAGAATTTGTACAGTTACTTAAACATTAGCCAGTAAGACTTCTTTAGTTTCCAAGGGAGAAGATAATCTCACAGCAATGTCCTTGTGAAAAAGGAAATAATTGCTGTCACTCCTGAAAATCCTGAAAAGGGTTCTGAGTCTGAGTGGAACAATTTTGTTTGCAGTAAGGTGGTGCAATTGATTTCTCATCTTCTGATTGTTTCAAATGTTTATTGTTCTGAAGGATGCTGGCGGGATTTTCTGGGTTCTTCTTCAACTTATTTCCCCTCAACTTCATTTGCACATCTCTGATGTTGTTTTTCTAAAATGTTCAATGTGCAACATAGTCCCAACTGGAATTGAAATATGCATACTAAAATAATAATCCTCCCCCTTTCTCCTATATAGAGATTTGGTGCCACTTCACAATGCCTGTTCCTATGGTCATTATGAAGTAACAGAGCTTCTAGTAAAGGTTGGTCTTTGAAGAGATTAAATTGCATAAAATTAAATGAGAACAGTTTAGAATAGACTAATGCGAGCTGCATATTTTTTTTATTTTGCACTTAAATTTATAAAACTTAATGATAGATTGCTTTTGCTCTACATGTTTGTGATTAATCTGGAACAGAATCTTGTGCTTGCAAGGGAGCTTTTTCCTTAAAGAAGTGCTTTCTGATTTTAACTCTCTCTGCTCTAATGCTGGATGTTTTGTACCACCAAGTAAGTACTTCTTATCTCAACCTTCCCACCCTCACCCCAAAAAACGCACAGAAAAACCACCAAAACCTAAGCAATATTGTGAGTTCAACAATAGAAAAATATTCCGGAAGACAGAGTATTAAAAGGTTTTGAAAAGAATGCTGGTAAAGATCGTAAATGCTTTAACATTAACGAGTAATCAGTCTCTTGAGGAAGTGAACTTTACCGCATAAGTTCTGGCCCTGAATTGTAACCTTCACCCCAAAGAAAGAAAAGTGTGTCAATTTTCCTAATGTAAGTGAACTCTTGGAACTGAAGTGATTTATCTGGATTATGTTAATCTTGAAGATAAAGTATTATGCACATTAAACCAGTGGCTCGAAGGTGTTCCCTTCCAAAATCTGTGGGCGTTGTCCACCAAGGGACTTTTGAACTGTGACTGTTCTCAGTTGCTGCAGCAAATCGTGATCATTATAAGTAAAAAAATACTTAAAACATATTTTAGTAAGTGTACATAGACAAGTTTGGTTTTTTTACTTCAGAGGCCAGTTGTAAAGTGAATATTTATGGTTGTGGTAGTAGACAAAAAAACCCCAAGACATTACTGTGTGTCTTAACTGTTAAACTACAGTTGTATTCCCTGTGGGATTTCTGCTCTCGTGAATCTTGAATATTTTGCAAAGCACTACAGCTTTAACAGGAGCAATGGGAAAGAGCATGTCGTATCAGACTGGCTTACAGACAGATCTCAAGGTGCATACAAAATGCTACTGGAGAAGAATTACACAGATATTAAACATACAAGAGTATCGCTTGCAGAACCTTGTACGTACATGTTTTGAATTGAAGTCAACTTTGAGTGCCTGTCTCCTTCTAGATATCTTGGGGGCTGTTCACAGAATGTGTGTTATCTTAGCGCAGCTGTTCACTCAAGACTTTTTCTAGAGCAGCAAGAAACAGAAGCTTGTTCAGAGGTGATCTGGAGTATATGAATTAGGCTCTTTCTCCAATTTGACCTGTAGCAGGGCTTCTCTCCTTTTAGAAATGCTAGAGAAAGCCTGAAGAGACTCACCTGCCTTTGACTGCTTTGAATGTACCTGTAAGACTCCAGAGGATTAAAAACAATATGCTGAAATGTTGTGTTACATTGAAAAGGAACATCTGGAGAATGTCTTGGATACAGCTTGCATACAAGCATTGATTTTAACAGTCTGCTGCATTGAAACTAATGGCAGAAGTGTTTTCCTAATGATCTGGTTTTGATATTGTGTCTTTTTTACCCTTTTCCTTTTCAAGCATGGAGCATGTGTGAATGCAATGGATCTGTGGCAATTCACCCCTCTGCATGAAGCAGCTTCTAAGAACAGGGTGGAAGTATGTTCTCTTTTGTTAAGTTATGGTGCTGACCCAACACTGTTGAACTGTCACAACAAAAGCACCATTGATTTGGCTCCAACGCCCCAATTAAAAGAACGATTAGCATGTGAGTATAAAGTGATATCAGTTCTACAGTTACAGATTGTAATGTGTACTTAGGTTCCCTAGACAGTGACCTGCCAGAAATCAGATTTGGAAGATGCTTACACTTTCCAAGCACTTGTGCAATATTGGACAGTACATTTCACTATTTATAATTTGAGATTGCTGGATTTTCTAAATGTAGGCTTTTAAAATAATTTTATTGTCAGTTTTACAGTCATGTGGTTGTGATGGGTTTTGTAGCTTTTCTTCCCTGAATACACACTTTCCCTCACAACTTTGCCACTGCACTTTCATTTTCCGCTCTTGCTCCTGTCATTGCGTCAAGACTACTGAAATACTCATTTTTATTCCACTGTGTTTTGTGTGAAGAAAAGAAAAAACGTAACTGAATTTAGTATCCCACAATCACTGGAAGTTCAAAGAAATTGGTGAAAGGCATTGATTTTTGTCCAGAAGACTTAAGGAGTTGAAAAGAATGCCCACAAATTCTGTCATTGAGTCATCAAACAATAACTTTCTGGGATATGTGCAAAAATTATTATCAGTAAATACTACATTAGACTTCATGTTAGCATCTAGAAATGGTTTTCCAAAGACAGGTCAGAAGTAGAGATTTATATACGCTTGAATTCATACATATGCAAAGAGTGGAACCTAGAACAGTGGTGAGTGAAATACATCTTGTTCAGCCAGTTTGCATGTATCTCTGTCTTTGGTTTAGATACAAAGTGCATTCCTGTAATGTTTTGACTTGGCTAACAAGTTCTGTCAAGTGGTGTGAAAGCTTAAGTCTGAGTTGGAAATGTCTGCACCATGGTCTGCTGAATAAAATGAATATTTTTATCTGACTGAAATAAACTATCCTCTTGATCCTTCTTGAGTTAAGAAGTGTAACCTGATATGTATTTTTTTTTAAAGATGAATTCAAAGGTCACTCACTGCTACAGGCTGCAAGAGAATCAGATGTAGCTCGTATAAAGAAACATCTTTCTTTGGAGACAGTGAACTTCAAGCATCCTCAAACCCATGAGACAGCATTGGTAATATGTCACAACTTATTAATTGTTTTGCATATATTGTGGCTAATGTAAACATACTAGGTAGTAGTTTAGAACTAAAAATTTCAGTGTCAAACGGTGTAATTCAGACCAATCTGGAATATCCAGTGTCTAGTTAAACAAAAAACATTGATTAATATTAAGACTAATCTAAATGGCTTGTTTAATTTATAGGTTGTGTAAATGACTTTTTCTATACAGTAGACTAGTTTTAAGCAACAGCAAGCTACATATGTTGGCTTTGTTTGTAAAGTTTGAAGGTTTCCAGCATTTATTGGAGAAGGAGCTCTGGAAAATACCAGAGTATATCCAAAAGCCCATGTGGAATCTCATGTATTAATAAGCTTCTACATATATTTTATTTTTTTGTTGACTTTTCACGCAACCAGTTCTTAACTGCCAGCTGATCAGCAAGCAGTAAAATCTGTGTGTTGCTAGCTGTTAATGCTATGCTTTTTAATGTTCTCAGCACTGTGCTGCTGCATCTCCATATCCTAAGAGAAAACAAGTATGTGAATTGCTGCTGAGGAAGGGAGCCAACATCAATGAAAAAACAAAAGAGTGAGTGGTTACAAATGAATACTCTTAAGTGTTTGTTTAGGACATTTTGCAAAATAAATTTTTAATTCTTTTTTTTCTTTAAAGCTTCTTGACTCCTCTGCATGTGGCATCAGAAAAGGCTCATAATGATGTTGTTGAAGTAGTTGTGAAACATGAAGCTAAGGTATGAGTTACTATTAATGCTTTTTTCTTTGTTGAGGTTTGCCTACAATATAGGTTTTCATACCATGAAAAGGGACAGCTGAGTAGACAGGCTTTTCTAAAATAATTCATTTTGAAAGGTTATAGATTAATATGCTTAAGACATAGCCCATCAGTACGGCCCTGTACATTGAAGCATCATCATTGTTTTGGTCCTGTTTTATAAGAAGTGCAGATGTAGTCCTTACTGTTAACTGAAGGCTCATAGAGTGTCTTGTTGGTGCTTCTTTGTCCAGCAGTAGTAATGGAATGCTTAAAAAAAAAAAAAAAAAAGCAAGGGATATATAGATATCTGTGAACAACAAGAAGCTAGAACTGTGAAACAGGTAGACTTTACATGATGTTGCATGCAGTAAAAATACACAGTGTTTAGTTCACATTCCCCCAAAAAGAGAAAACAGAAAGGAGGTACACTCTGTAATGCTTTAATCCTCCAAAACTAGGAGTTGAATCTCTGTCTTATGGAAATTTGATTACATGCTGACTTCTGTGAAGTTTCCAAAGCAATGATCAAAACTAGAGGACCAGTACAGAATACAAGTAACCTTTGGGTGCAGAGTTTTAAATCATTAAATACACCTTGACTGAAGCACATAGAAAGTCCACCATTTGAAATACCACAATAAGCCAATGCATGTAAAAGCTGTTCTCCGTGTTGGCACTGAGGATTTGTGCTGCCATGAACAAAATAATGGCCTACTTCTGTACACATTGGTTGTATGCAATGCTGTTTATGCTGGATTATTCACATGCCTCTAAAAGCGGGCTATTCTTCCTCAGTAAATGTAGTTATAACTTTATGAACTGCTTTTGTTCAAATTTTCTCTTTTAAAATGTCATCACCTTTGGGAATACACTTAATATGTTCTTTTAATTAAACTAAGAAGAATACTTGTGAAACTCTCCCAGTCAACATGAAAACAGCTTTAATACTGTTTTAATGGTGGTATTTCTTGTGTGTGTTATTTTTAGGTTAATGCGTTAGATAGTCTTGGCCAGACATCTCTTCATAGAGCAGCACATTGTGGTCATCTTCAGACGTGCAGGTTGCTGTTGAGTTCTGGATGTGATCCTTCCATTGTGTCTCTGCAGGGCTTTACAGCCTTACAAGTGGGGACTGAAAGTGTGCAACAGTTACTACAAGGTATAACTGGTTTATTCAAGATCCCCTTCAGAAGTAACGTGGAGCTTCATTTTACTTGCCATTTTAAGTGCTGTCAAGAAAGAATAATGAACACTAACGCAAAAAAAAAATGCTTTCTACAAAAGAGTTCTGGGTTGTGCAGTTCTTATTCCATAACCATGTGCTCAGGGAGAGTGCCTGCTCTAGGCGTAGTTAACAGTATCATTTACTCTCTACTATTCATCTACACAGATTGTCAGAGATGCTCAGAATGTTTGATGGTGTAACCACCTGAAATAATTGTGGAAAAATACTGACATGGGAGGGGGGGTAATCTTGTGAGTAGAAAATGAGTTTCAAAATAAAAAAAATGTCTGCTTTGCATTTGTGAGCAGAGGCAACAGTGTACATGAATTTTCAAGAGTAAGGTTTGGACATCATACACAGAGGTAAGCTTCTTGATATGGTCTAATTCTGAAACTGAAATAAGAATATTTAGTTGGTTCTCCAGTACTTCAAAATGGATAGAAAGCATGTTGCTAAAGGCAACTTTGCGAACACTGTTAGAGCTGATAGCTACAGTTCTAGATAGTAAGAAAAGGCAAACTTGTCTATAATTGGTTAACTTTTTTTTAAGGAAAAATCCTTGAAGTACTCAAATTATTTCCTGTCTTAACAGATTCTTTCAACTACATAAACTTAACTGTCATGCAATCTCATTTATTTTGCAGAAGGTATCCCATTAGGTAATTCCGATGCAGATCGACAGTTGCTGGAGGCTGCAAAGGCTGGAGATGTGGATACTGTAAAAGTAAGCTTAAATCTGTCCTAAAAATAAGAGGGAATTATACCCCAAACTATAACTTCTCAAAACAAGCAGCTTCACTGACTGCTTTAGAGTTGTGATCCCTGCCCTAAAGCCTTTGTTTTGCACAGATATTACAAATGACAAAATTTAATGTTCGTCACTCCCAAAAGTTTGTCTTATATAAAAAGCATAAATAAGAATTCACAGGTGTGAATTTGGGAGGAGTATTTAATTATTTTTTTCTTGGAACACAGTCTGTGAAAAGTAAAGGTTTTATGTCAAAATATGTAAAGAAATGAACCTTATTTTTAATTAAAGCAATTTTTTCAAAATTTAGATGTATATAACAGCATTTTGTGACTAAAAGTGTGTGAATACTGTATATAGCGATGTATGTTTTGTTTTGGGGATTTCGCAGAAACTATGTACAGTTCAAAGTGTGAACTGCAGAGATATTGAAGGGCGCCAGTCTACACCACTTCATTTTGCGGCTGGATATAATAGGATATCCGTTGTTGAATATCTTCTTCAGCATGGAGCTGATGTGCATGCAAAAGATAAAGGGTAAATACTCAAATGTATATTGTCATGGCAATTGTAATTGCTGATACCTGGCAGCTTTTGAATATTGCTAGCTGATAAGCATCCTGTCTTTCTTCAGATATTCAATTTTTTTATTTTCATGGAAAGTTTTGTTAGAGTGAAGCTGTTCAGAATATCCACAAAAGCATTTTGCAGTATTTAAGAGCAGAGCATCAAGAATTTCTCTGGCCCTGTGTTTTTACTTCAGTGCCACTGCTGATAGTTTTTTTACCACTTTGGCAGTAGATATTCCTACTATATTACACTGTTGTGGAAAATTTAAAAAAAAAAAAAGTTTTGGTTACAGTTTGATTGTTGAAGGTGCACTGTGTTTTATTGCTCTGTGAAAAAAGGTCCATTATTTAAAGACCCCTCTTTTTTTAATTGTTTCCAGAGGACTTGTCCCTTTACATAATGCTTGCTCGTATGGTCACTATGAAGTTGCAGAACTGCTTGTTAAACATGGTGCAGTTGTCAATGTAGCTGACTTGTGGAAATTCACTCCTTTGCATGAAGCTGCAGCAAAAGGAAAATATGAGATCTGCAAACTCCTGTTACAGGTACTACATATGCTGGAGAGATGTTACTTTCTTTTCTTTCTTGTTCAGTCTGAGGTGTGATTGGACTTCTTTGAGAAATTGATTTGTGTTTTGTGATTTCTAAATGGTTGTAGTTAACTGTATGTTTTCAGTAAAAGGGATACTATTAGCAACTATGTTATCCTTTCTCAATAAATGGAAGACACTCTCTGAAGGATTCAAATATGTGTCAGAATATTTGATCAATAAGGCACTAAGATGCCTAAGATGCACCATGTTTATTCTACTTACATACTTACCACCTGTTTTTGATGTGCACAGCATGGAGCTGACCCTACGAAAAAAAACAGAGATGGAAATACTCCTCTAGACCTTGTTAAAGATGGTGATACTGATATTCAAGACTTACTTAGAGGAGATGCAGCTCTACTAGATGCTGCAAAGAAAGGTTGTTTGGCCCGAGTAAAAAAGCTGTGTTCACCTGACAATGTCAACTGTCGGGACACTCAAGGACGGCATTCAACACCACTACATTTAGCAGGTCAGTGTTTTAATTAATTAGTTCAATCAGAGTTATTAGTTACTGTGCCTGAACTGTCTGTGTCTAAACAAGTTTAGAGAGTAGCCTCAACCTAGAGGTTTCCATATCTTCTCTTAAAAAAACAAGTATTTTATGCATATTAATCTTATGTTCCTCTTCTAAACTGTTTAGTGACTTTCATTTCTTATTCTCTCTAACCGAAGAGAGTGTTTTATTGTTTATTGACTTAGGTTTTAAAACTGTATTACTGTTAAATAGGGTGAAGCTGTCTTCACTAGTAGATAATAGTGTCTTCACTGGGATTGACATCTTAACTTTTAAGTAATATAAATTAATTACTACTTCTTTACACCCTGTTGAGGATGTTTTTTTAATATATTGTACGTTCTGTCCTTTTGCAATTTTCCAGCTGGTTACAATAATTTGGAGGTTGCAGAGTACCTGTTACAGCATGGAGCAGATGTGAATGCACAGGATAAAGGAGGTTTGATCCCTCTGCATAATGCGGCATCTTATGGGGTAAATATCTCAAACTTTCTGAGGTTTTGTTTATTAAAAAAAATAGAAGTGATACATTTAATTGACAGCATGGTGAGATGGTACTCTCTAGAAAGCTTTTGCCATTGAGTTGTAATCTTGTTTGTAAAACAAACAAAAAAAATTGATCATAGTCAGCTCATTGTATGGGTGAAGACATGAATTTGTAAAATTTTCGTTGGAGTTTACAGAATTGAGTTTTATGAACATGAACACTTAGAAAGCCAGCAACCTGAAAGGTGTTCCATAAAATGCATTTCCTTAACTCTGCAGGTCAGATTTTATCAGCAAGATCCTATTTTCACTTATTTGTCTGGTATTGAGACACTAATTGTTTTTGTGGACTTCCTGGATTTTTGTACTTGGATCAAGTCTTTAATCAAAACAGAGTACTTTCCAAACTGGAAGTTCAAATTCAGACTATTTTCCTTCAGATTCCCGTGGATTTGGGTTTCTGTTGTAGTCTGTCCTTTTTTTCACAAGAGAGGAAACTTCTGTCTTCTTACTGGTACGTTATAGGTGAGGAAGAAAACACCTTGTTTTAATACTTTTTTAAAATCATAATTAAAAAGTAGATATGTTCTCACAGAAGTCTGAGGGTTACAGAGAAGTATCAATGATAGTTGAGAGTCAGTTTAATGCACTGTAGTACCTTGGAATTTAACAGGTGTTTTTATTTTCTAGCATGTTGATGTAGCAGCTTTACTTATAAAGTATAATGCATGTGTGAATGCTACGGACAAATGGGCTTTCACACCTCTGCATGAAGCAGCCCAGAAAGGAAGAACACAGCTTTGTGCCTTGTTACTGGCACATGGGGCTGACCCTACTCTGAAAAACCAGGAAGGACAAACACCATTGGACCTGGTCACTGTAAGTTATGGGACACTTCTTGGGAAATCTGTACTTACCTGCCAACTGTGGCAGCTCATTTTAAAAACATCCTTTAAAAAGTAATACAGCAATTCTGCAAAATTAAAAATCCTGTGGTTTCTCTGGTGTTTATATATGCCTGGTAAGGAAAGTGAGCAGAGCCTTTATAAACTTCGTTTAAATTGTTTCTTGCTCAAGACTTCCTATTTCAAGATAGAGTGGAAAAGAAAAAGTAAGGAATTCATGCTTATAATTTGATGCTTTTAATTCAGTACTTACAGTTTGACTAATGCAAAAATTATGGCAATAAAATGTAAGCAAACTTTGTAGCAACATAAATTAGGAAACTGTCTGGCTGTTAAGTTTTTGGGTGTTTTTTTCCAAAGTATTATAATATAGTTCAAAGCTACTCTGAGTCACTGTTTTGTTTCATAAGTTCTGGTTGCCAGTAGAAGCTTTTGGTTGTTTTTCCTAGAAAATGAATGTTGTTTAAATGTTCCTAAAGTTTTTTAGAAATATTGAAGCCTTTCTTTTTATCTTATTACAGTTTTTATTTTTAAACGTTTAGTTTCATGTGTGCCTTTGGCACAACAGGCCATTTGTGAACTGCATTGTAAAATGCATATTTTTGCAATATGCATTTATTTATTTTGCAGTGTATTTAAGAAGTATGGAATAATGATAATGCATTCCAGGAGAAAATACTATGTAAAAGTGTTCCTCTGTTTTAATAAATTGTCTTCTGCTATTTAGGCAGATGATGTCAGCACATTACTGACAGCTGCAATGCCTCCTTCCGCCTTACCCACTTGCTACAAACCTCAGGTTATAAGTGTGGCTCAGTCTACAGGTTCTACAGCTGATTCCCTGTCTTCAGTTCCATCCAGTCCATCCAGTCTGTCTACTGCAAGTAGTCTCGACAACCTGTCTGGTAGTTTTTCTGAACTTGCTTCTGTGGTTGGTCCCAACAGTGCAGAGGGAGGTACTGTTCTGGAGAAAAAAGAAGGTGAGGCTTTCTCAGTTAGAAATTAATAACATTTTTTTACTGTGTGATAAAAAGAATATACAAATGTGAAGTTTCCCACACATGCGCGCAGTTACTATGACACATGCAGTATTCCTATTCCTTACGATGTGATTAAGGAGCAACGGAAGTCTAAAAGTCTGTTAGTCTAAAAGTATAAGATTTTAGTAGTTTCCTCTTACAGAATCTTTAAAATGCTCCTTTTCTTGCTGTACAGAACCAAAACGGTGAATTGTGTTCTAAAAGGGAAGTCAAATGATACTTGTCTCCACACCAAGCAGTATTTTGCTAGAAACTTCATCTAGTTCCTAAGAGGCTATTCTTAGATTAGGTATCTTGAAAAGGTTACCTCTGTGATGTTTTATTTCTCCAAATGTTTTCTGTTTGAACATGCATTTCTGGTGGCTAGTTAGTTGCTTATTTTGTGGAAGCCTGAAGACTGCTCTTGGGGGGGCGGTAAAAATCTTAGAGTACTAGGGTAGAGTAAGAATAGTTGCCACTGGTGAGTGGTACAGATATTTATTCCTCATCTTCGGAAGACCAGGAATTTCTGTGTCTCTAATTATTCCCACAGGTAGTGAGATGCGTATATTTTATTTTACAATACATGTATGAATGTTCATTGTGAGTTTTTCCTCTTATCCAGTTTCAGGTGTAGATTTTAGCATAAATCAGTTTGTGCGGAACCTTGGCCTTGAACATCTAATTGATGTATTTGAGAGAGAACAGGTAAGTAGCTATATTTACAGATACTCAGCTAGAAGGCAAGGGAATACTGACCATTTAGAATAACATAATGAGACAGATTTAAAATGATTGAACGTCAAAATAAGTGGAATGAAGGAAAAGAGTTTAACTGTGGATATTGTAAATTTATATGCAATATCAATATATATTAAAATATATATACAAAAAACTGAGGCCAATGTCTGTATCAGTTTGAGAGTGTGGGCATGTTTCTTTTCAGTAGTATAAATGGTGTCGTAAGTAGGTAGTCAATGTTGATTAGCAATTTCTGGTTTTGTTTCTGTCAGCTTGAATACATCTAGAAAATTGTATTTCTCAGTCAGAAACATGATCCTTGCAAGCAATAAGAGTTACCTGATTGCAGTTTGTAGCACATTTATTTAAGGACAAAAGTTTGCAGAAAGCAGTTGAATAAAAATAAAGTACAAGTACAATACACTAAAGTCTCCAGTGTTCGTGTTCTTTTCACACTTGCTTTTTATCTCAGCTATTGTGAGGTGTATTTTTACTGTCATTGGCAGCTGTTCTAGTCTGCTTATGCTGTTGTACAAAAAAATGGTGTTGCTTTCCTTACAGATAACACTGGACGTATTGGTTGAAATGGGACACAAAGAATTGAAGGAAATTGGAATTAATGCTTATGGACATAGGCATAAAATCATTAAAGGAGTTGAAAGACTCATTTCTGGACAGCAAGGTATATACTTGTTTCAAAATATTATGTAACAGTACCGTTATAGAATCAATTTTTATAAATGCTTTAGATTTTTTCCAAATTGTATCTCATTAAAAAGACTTTATAATAAAAGTTGTCCTAGAAAATGGCACTTCAGATGATAAGAATGTCTTCTGACATGAAACATGAGCACATTTATTTGTGCTGTGAATTGCAGTGGATCTTGCCTTTCATTTCTCTATTTTTTTGTGTGTGTGTGTGATCGTTGTTTTGTGTTTACTTAGGTAGATCGAGTGCAAAATGATTATCAGCTTTTTGAGGTGGGGAATATTTGTTTTCATCTGAGCACTCTGGAGAGCAGAGCACATTCTCTGTTGATGGGTTATGACCTGTTTACTGGTACTGTTCCATTTGGTTCTGCAAAAGAATACTGTGTTTGCTCTCTCAGAAAGCCAATTGAAATTCTTTATATATACTTATTTAAAAATACAGGTGTGCTTCCAGTGAACCAAAATTAACATAATTGCTTTGTTTAAGAGCTTTAGCTTGTATTGAAGTTTATGCTTAAGCCTCTTTTTTTGTGCAGCGCTGTTGATACCGGCACAATCTTGGGAACAGTTTGCTTCATTTAACTATGGCTGCATAAGAGACAAAAAAACCCAAGCCTTTTCTTCCTCCTTGTCTCACTGAAACATCACTTATTATTATTTTACTGGTTTTTATAGAAATGAAATAAATTATTTTTCTCTCTTGGGACACCATCTGTGAATTCTCACTCTAAAATCTGCGTTCCATAGGAGTGAGTCACTATCCCAAGCTTTAAATTATTTTTTACTCCTTAAAACAGTATTAACCAATCCTTAATATAATCCTTTTCCTAGTAATGAAGTATTTAAGTGAATAATTTAAGTGACTTCTCATAATTTGCTCTTAATTGTCAGATGGGTTTTGACAGATTCATTGAGTGTTTTGGATAGAAGTTACTTTTAAAGTGTCATTTCAGCCTCATGACCTGTTTGAGTTCCGAGTTTACACAACCACTAATCATGTATTAGTTTTGCCTTCCAAGTAGGACTGGTGAATTTTTGAACGTATGTATATTCATACATATTTTCATATGCGTGTATATAGACAGAATGCGGAGTTAAGTCTTACTATTAAGGTGGTGGCCGGTCACCAGTGGTGTTC